AAATAAATAAATAAATAAATAAATAAAGGTTTATTTTCAATTTCCCCACCTGGTACCAAGGGGTTAGCAGCTGTTCCTTTACAAAGATGGCAAGCAAGTTACTTCACAAGGGCTTGTACTGCATTTATCTCATAACAGGCATTCAACCAGTTTTGTTACAGGACAAAGAAACCCATCTAGTACCAGGAAGTCAAAGAATCCCCTCTGAAGGAACAAAAGCCAGAAGTTATTTCCACTACTCAACTGAATACTGATATTGAATGCAGAACATTGCACAGAAGTGAGATGCATAGAAGTAAAATAAATGTTTAGGTGTCTTCTTTAGGAAATTCAGACTGACCTCGCTCAAGGACCTTTGAACCAAAGAAAGTCCCATTAGGTACGAAGAAGCAGAACAAGGGATGAGCTCTTATGATATCGAAGCTGGTAAATGATTGTACATAAAGGACTCAGGAATGGAAGCAGACAGGAAGGTAGGTGGGTAGGCAGGGAAGGAGGGAAGAAGGGAAGAAGAGAGGGAAGAAAGGAAGGGAAGGAAGGAAAGGGTAGCAAAGGTGCAGGCTCACAGGGGACTGACTTTCAATAGCTATAAATGATTGTAGAAATTTCTACCAGAATTAGAAAATGCTTTCAATACCAAAATGTCGTAAGAAATTTAATTGCTGTATATTTAGAAATTTTATATAATTTAAACCACATGTTATTTTTGTGACTTTCATAGTATTATAAAAGACCACTCAAAAGAAGAAAAATTCTTAATTTATAATGGAATTTTCAACTAAAATGTTTAATAATAGCTTTTCACTTGCACTACTAAATGCAACTATATTTTGTCCTTTAACTACCATGTTCGAATAGACAAACAGGCTACTGAATCAAAGTTTTAATCTTACCCTGAAAAATCAGCAGAGTATTGTCCATAATCAAAGATATAAACTCTAGTAATTTGGCACACTGTGAGGTATCCCAAAGCAAACACAAAACAATATCTGGAAAACAAAAATAAACTAGATTAGTAAAAATAAAAGATTCGTTTTGTTAAAAAGCACATTTTAAGGTAATTTATTCACTACATGATATGGTTCAAAAATTACATATTACTAAATCTACTCCACAAGTAGTTTTCTTTAACAAATTATGAAAACTCTTTACTACTATCTGCTTCAGTTTATTTGCCTGCCACCTTCAATGGTAAATCCATTTATCACCTTTATTCATTTCCTTCTGAAAGACATCCACACATCAAATTATGTATTTGAAAGTCATGATCACAAGCATAAAAATGTGATTATTGGTATGAATTCTATTTCTTCCTCCTTTCTAGAAAACAAAATTTAGCACAAAAATGTGTGGCTAAGATATACATTAAACAAATTCTTTCTTAATAGGATTTTTAAAACTTGTTCCAATAGTCTAAAAGCATACATTCTTAGTATGGACCAGGTGGCATTTACTCATATTTTATAGGCACGAACACTTAGCGATTTTTATAAACTTAAGATGCTTGGGATAGAGTTACAATAATCAAAAACATAGTGTGAGAAAAAGAATTTACTTATCAATAGAAGAAACTAGAAACCCAGAAACAGATTCTAGAATATTTAACATTGCATAGGATAGAGGCTGCAATGCAATTATCAGGGAAAGGATGGATTATCACTTAATTAGATAACAGTCTGGGTGGGGGCAAGAAACTTATGCCTTCATCTCATACTAAAACAATTCTAGAGCAGGGCATGGTATCTTCCTGACTGTAATCCTAGTCACTTGGGAGGCTGACGTAGGAGAATTACTTGAGGCCAGGAATTCAAGATCAGCCTGGACAACATAGCAAGACTCCATCTCTATTAAAAATAAATAAATAAAACAATTCTAGATAGATTAAAGAATTATATCTAAAATATAAAACCACAACAATTAGGAACTGTGGCTAAATGTACAAAGGCATCATCAACAGGAGGAGCCTATTTCTTCACCCACTTTGAATCTGGGCTGGCCTAACCACACTGTAAATTATGGCAGAAACAATATTTTATTAGTTCCAGGCATTGCCCATAATCAGCCTGGCAGTTTCTACTTCTTGCTTTTTGGGAGTTGGTTGTCATGAAAGAAGTATGACTATCCTAAGACCACTGCATGCAGAGATTCTGGAGGATGAGAGACCATGTGGAGAAGAGAGAAAGGGAGAGAGAAAGGAGAGAGGGAGGCAGAGAAGGGTGGACCAAGTGGTTAAATATGTGAGTAAAGAAGCTGATTCCACATGAAAAAGAGATGACCTCTCCAGGCAAACCCTTCCTGAATTTCTGACCCACAAAATCATAAGCAAAATAATACAGTACACAGTATATCAATACGTTTTAAGCAACTATGTTTCAATGTAGTGACATAATTAGAACAGAAATTGGTGTATTAAAACACACAGCACTGGCTTTAAGATTGGATGGTGTGTAGAAGCAAGAAGAGTCTCGAGGAGACAGCCAGTTTAGACCTGAAAGACAGGAAGGAAACTGCAACTAGAGAAAAAGCAGCCCGCATTATACAGTAGCAGCAACTGGGTACCACTGCTGCCTGCAGTCACATGGAAAACAGAAAACATACCTAATGAATACGACAACTGGTTTCTTTTAGTGCAGATGATAATGTATGGATAGAGATGAACTAAAAAAATAAGTATTCTGGTTTTGAGCAGAATATAGAAAAAATAGGAAGGGCCCAGGATAGTCTTTCCAATCAGTAAAATATACTTAAAGTATCAACATAAAGTCAAAGGTAGTCTTTGATGCCCCCTCATAAAGATTTAAGCACACCCTTATAGAATCCCTCAGGTAAGAAATAGTTTCTAAGAATCCTAAAGGCATGCCTCTTAGACTTTCTCTGATAGACAAAAAAAGTGTTTTAAGAACCTTAAGGGTGCTGTCCACTGTAACTCTCAGACCAAAGTAGAAAGGACACTGTCTAAAACAGACTTGTAGATGTGGCTTCTATGTAATGTAGTGGATTCTAATTAGGAAGCCCACATAGTCTTTTAAAGCAGCGGTCTCCAACCTTTTTGGCACCAGGGACTGGTTTCCTGGAAGGCAATTTCTCCATGGACCATGGGGTTGGGGGGTGTTGGGGAATGCAGAGCTCAGGTGGTGATGCGCAGACATTTCCTGACAGACCACAGACTGGTACTGGGGCATGGCCTGGGGGCTGGGGACTGCAGTTTTAAAAGACTTACTAAGAATGGACTAAAAGGGAGAGAGTTCAAAATGAAATGGGATCTTTAGGTTCCCAATTTTTTACCCATAATTAGCAGGCTAAGAAAGCTATTCAACTGCAAAAACTGGACATTTCTTATAAAAAAGGAAGGCTAGGCTCAGGGTGTGGAGTAAAGAACCCAGAGGACAGAGCCAAGAACCAGAGAGGACCACTCAAGGGACTAGGTCTGGGCCCTCATCAAGGAACTGGTAATGTGCGTCTTTCAGGATTTCACAATTGCTATGGACCATGGCTAAGTGCCTTACGTGGCTAGGTGTCTACTGCAATTATCCGATCCCTGTTCATCACTGGACACTGGGTTTGTGAGGGGCAAAAAGCTTGCCTCTTAGTTCACTGGTCCTCAGCTCAAGAAGAACTGCATTTGAGGAGCCACCTCAAGAGGTCTCAGCCATATTAGACCTGACTTAGACGACAAGAGAGAGAACTTGAGCTTGATACCTTAATAAGATGAGACTGTGGGGATCTTGGAGGGAAATAAGTATATTTTTAAATGTAGGATATATGTGAATGGTGGGGGCCAGATGGCTATCTCCCAAGACTGCTGCCATCAATAACAACCCTCCCTGTTGCACGTATCCAACTCTACATCAAGAATTGGAATATGGTTCTTGCTATTGGATGTTTATTCCCTCTAAACCTCATGTAGAAATCTAATCCCCAACATTGGAGGTGGGGTATAATGGGAGGTGTCTGGGGCATGGGGGCGGATCTCTCATGAATGGCTTGGTACCCTCATGGAGGTAATGAGCAAGTTCTCACTCAGTTTCCTCCAGAGCTAGTTTTTAAAAAGAGCCTGGCACCGCCCTGCTCTCTTTCTTGTTTCCTCTCTTGCCATTGATCTCTGCACAAGCCGGCTGCCCCTCACCTTCTGCCATGAGTGGAAGCAGCCTGAGGCCCTCACCAGATGCAGATACCCAATCTCGAGCTTTCTAACCATAAGAATCATTAGCCAAATAAGCCTTTTTTTCCTTTATAAATTACGCAGCTTCAGGTATTCCTTTATAGCAACAATAAATGGACTAAGACAATTCTCTTCCCCTTGAATCTGTGCTGGACTCAACGCCTTTGTTTTACCAATACAATGAAAATGACTTCCTGAAACTTTAAGAACAGGTCACAAGAGGTCTGCAGCTTCCTCCTGGTCTTCCTTGTCGTTGGTACACACTGCCTCAGAGCCCTGCCATCATGTTTGGAGAAGCCATGGGCTCCAGTGAGCAATCCCAGCTGATCTCCCAGACATACGAGTACACCACCCTGGATGTCAAGTAGTCAAGCTTCCAAATGCAGCCTCAACCAACATTTAATAGAACACATAAGACCCCAGCAAAAGTTGTCTGGCCAAGTCTAGGCAACACACAGAACCATGAAAAATGAAAATAAATTGTAAAGCCATTAAGTCTGAGGTGACTGTTATGCTGCAAGACAACTAGAATAATTTCTTAATAAAAATGTGGCAAGGCCGGACATGGTGGCTCACACATGTAATCCTAGCACTCTGGGAGGCCGAGGGGGGTGGATTGCTCAAGGTCAGGAATTCGAGACCAGCCTGAGCAAGAGCGAGACCCCGTCTCTACTAAAAATAGAAAGAAATTATCTGGACAACTAAAAAAAAAATATATATATATATATAGAAAAAATTAGCCAGGCATGGTGGCACATGCTGTAGTCCCAGCTACTCAGGAGGCTGAGGCAGGAGGATCGCTTGAGCCCAGGAGTTTGAGGTTGCTGTGAGCTAGGCTGACGCCACGGCACTCTAGCCAGGGCAACAGAGCCAAACTCTGTTTAGAAAAAAAAAAAAAAAAAAAAATGTGTCACACTAAAACTAATAGTAATTTAAAATAATAGGATACCCTAATTAAATAGGGTTTATTTGATAAATGCAAGTATGATTATATATAGGACAGTAATATACATCATCATAGTGATGAGTCAAAGGAAAAAATAGTTATTAATATAACAGATACTCAGAAGGACATTTAATACAATTTGATAACATTTCAGCATAACAAAACTCTTAGTAAGCTAAGGGAAAAGATGCTTCTTAAATGTTAAGAAGTTTTTTGAAACATTCAGTATCTTGCTAGCCTTGAAACACTAGTAATTCATGGGAGAAAGCATATGAAAGTTTTGACATGGGAATGAAAACATATATGCATTAGCATAGCATTAACTTACTTTTAGATTTATTTTGAAATGCAAATAACATTAAAGTCCACTCTCCTTAAATTAATCTCTAAATGTAGCATAATAATCTCAATCAAATTTCTAACAATACTTTTGGTGAAACCTAAGTAGCTGCTTTTCAAGGTCTTCTGGGAAGTTAAATAAACATATGATGAGGAAGACTTGCCCTATTCCAGTAGATAAAGGAATATGCCATGGTGATTTATAATGTAGTATTGTTTCAGAAATAGACCAAAAGATTAACCAAACAGAAGAAAGTCAAAAAAAAAAAAAAAAAAAAACAAACACCTCATTATTCAAATGGCAGTTTTTTTTTTTTTATAAAGTTGGCAGATGAGATTAGTGGGAAGATGAATGAGGTAAATGAGGGTTAAAAAAATTAGCTCTTGTTTCAGAAATATATAATAGTTTACCAGTTCAAACAACAGACATAGAAGTACAAAAATCCAGTCAGATTATGAATAGACCTAAATGTAAAAAATAGTATCATAAAACATAATAGAGTAAGACATAAAAGAATATCCTCAACTTCCTGGAGTGGGGGAACATTCATAAGCATGAC